TACATCATAAAAGAATTTAACAGATAGAAAATTTCTTCTCTTGAAATTACGTTACAAGCCAAAGCTATTGATAGCAGTAAACAGATTAAAGTTTTTATTTTATTTTATTTATTTATTTATGGTGTATTCATGCTTTGGCATCGAAATATTGTTTATCAGCCGAGCCTCCAATAAGAAAGATATAAGCTCTCAAACTTCGTCTCTCAATCCAAGGTTTAGGGACTGTTCCGATTAAATTTAGATTTAATAAAAATTAATCAAATCGATTTAAAAAAAAAAAGGCTCAATATGATAGGTATTAACTTCGGTCAATTTTTTAAAAATTATTTGGCTGTTTTTTTCTTAGATTTAAGAATATATATGATTTCGTTATATTAATTAGCTTACACCAACCTTAATTATATTAATTGAATTATAATTAGCATAGAATGTTATTTTATTATCCTTTAATTACTATGAAAATTTACATACATACCACACAATTCTTATGTATTTACATATTTAACACCTGAACTTCAATTTTTACCATTATACCAATTAATCTAAGCTTTAATTGATGCGTTTCCTTTTTTAAGAAGTTGGCAAAAGTGCTATTTTTATGTGATATGTGTAACAACCACTGCTTCATATTCCACGTGCACTGCAAGCAGAGTGCAACACCTCCACCTCTAGCCCGCACCAAAAGAAATCTGCACCATCCACCCATAATCACTTCAATCACAACCACTTATCCTTTAACTAGCTTAAGCACACTCCAAAATACCTCTTTACTTTACCAAATTTTGTATGGAGAATGAATGAATATTTCTGAGCTTGCTCTATCGTTATCAACCTTCTGTCTCCCTTACCAAACATTCTTCATGGTATCAGAGCCATAGCCCCATGGCATACCCTCCCTTTCATCATGGCCTCCTCCTCCACTATCTCCTTCGGTGGAAATACCACAAACCACCACAAGCCCTTGCCAAGTGACAACCCAATCTCCACTAAACTGAAATTCATCCTGAGCAACATGAGAAGCCTCATCACTATACAGCTCAACCCAGACAACCATCCAACCTGGAAGGCACAAGACACTAAACAGTTTCAAGCAAATGGATACAACAGCTTCCTTGACGTCTTCTGCATCTATCAGGCAAGGCACAACACCAATGTCAATGGCACTTTGCTTCCAAATCCAGATTTCACCAAATGGATGTTAATAGATCAAAATCTTGTTATGAATCCATATTAAGTTATCTCCCCACCTAATCATACCTTGCGTACTACCCGAGGGCAGACTAAAATCCTCCAATTGATCCATAATTATCCTACTAAAAATTGAGCGCCACAACCCACTATGCTAAGCAAACCCATGAGCCAATATCTCTCCAAGATCAAGGCCAAGGTTGATATATTCGCAGCAGCAAGAGCTCCTCTATACCTTGGTGCTCTTGCTGCTGCGAATATTGGCTGAAGGTTTGTACGGATAGTAGTTATGAAGGCATGGTATGTGCAAGGCCTAATAGTGGCATAACCGAATCCACATCACATCCAAACTAAAGCAACTACATTCTAAATGACAACAACAGTCCTCCTACGATCTGTCAAATTTGTCGCAAACCAGGGCACAAAGCTTTCAAATGTTGGTTCAAGCATGTCAAATCCTACCAAAGTCTCAAGGCACTTGTCACCACAAATTCAGATTCAGCCGACAATGGTACACATACATTGGAGACACCGAGCACCTCACTGTCGAACCAAATCATCTCATCCATGCCTAGGATTACCACGAAGATAGCACGAGTACAGTTGGGAATGATCAACAGCTCCTTATTGCACAAGTCAGACAATGGATCCTGCCCACTCTTCTGAATAAGCTACATCTACCCAACCTACATCACTTTCCAAACTTAGCTGATAACATTATCTCTGTTCATAAACTAACTGAAGCTAATTCATGTTCCATTACATTCACCTCTGATGGCTATCACATCATCGACTTAAAGACAAACCACACAATATTTAAGGGTTCCTGCATTTGTGGACTCTATCCTGTTCTTCCTCCAACTACTAAGCGCCACCAACACCCCTTGCTCTCAGTTTGGAACAACACTTCCTGAATCTATGGCATCAAGGACTTGGGCATCCGCCAACTAGACACAATCAATCATTGCATCCTCAAGTCCTCCTTTTCATTAGAACTAATTCACTCTATGTATCGGGTCTTTCCCCCACTCTATCGTTATAATTTTATAAATACTATTTGTTTTTCATTGATGACTACTCTTGCTATACATGGGTTTATTTTCTCCACAACAAAAATGACAACACAAAAATTTCTTGAATTCAATACTATGGGTGAAAACTGATCCCTCTATAAAATAAAAAATTAGTACCGACGGTGGTGGCAAATACATTAATCACAACATTCAAAATCTTTTTAAACAATATGACATCTAACACCAATACACATGCCCCTACACACTTGAACAAAACGATGTTCCTTAGCGCAAGCACTGTCACCTCATTGAACTTCTTTACCCGCCTAATTTTAGGTTGATGCACTACTCATGGCATGCTATCTAATCAAACATCTGCTCTCAAACACTACAACCTCCAAATCCCCATACGAACTTCTTCACCATTGCCTACCATCCTATAATCATCTCAAAATATTTCCATGCTTATGTTACCCTTGGCTTCAACCATACACTCAACACAAACATGCTCCAAAACCCTAGCTCAACAAATGAGGAAGTCACGTGCGATAAAGAAAAAAAAACCTCGCGGTAATATAATAATTACGTAGGCAGGGTCATACACAGGCGAATTTTACGTGGACAAATTTCCCTATTTTATCTTTTATGAAAGTGGGGGCCCTGCTACGTGGCATTATGTTATTAGCTCTCAAACGTAGCAAAATTTCTAGACGCCATACGTAATATTTGACCACCCTTTTTTTATTGGGGATTTTATATAACCACAAGTTCTTATGTATTATTACCTAATACCATCACTCAAAACTTTTACATCAAATCAAAATTTTCACCGTCAGTGTCTCTTTAAAAGTTAAATATATAATTTTATTTATAGATTTATGACAATATATGTAAATATTAAACTTTAGATGTTAGATATTCAAATACATGAGAATTGTGTGATATGTATTTAAATTTTCTTTTTTTTTTCATTTGAGCATAAATGCATGCATATCAAATGGGTCATGATGGGTTTTACACGATGCCGAAATGTGCCGCAATATTGAAGACTCTCAGAATAAAAATTATCTGTTTCAGAAGAGGTTTTTATGCTAAGAAATATTTTAAGCCAGTCGTTTAATTTTTTTAAAATAAATTAATTTCCTTACGAAATTCATAAAAATATAAAACAAACAGGCACTCAAATATGTTTTTTATGTAAGAAAATAAAAAAAGAACAAAATAAAAACCGACACATAGTCAAACTTGCTTTATGTTTGGATGCTTTTTTTCTTAACATTTTTATGTTTTGTTTTCAAAATTAAACACTTATGCTGGAAATATTTACTTTTTTTTTTGAAACTATGTTAAGCACAATACAAGTTTTACCTTTTTTTCTAAATTTATTTATTAAAGAAGAAAATAATTGTAAATTCGAACATATTTCAATTCTAAGTTAAAGTAAAACAAATAAAAGATGAAATTAAAACAATACAAAACTTACAAACTTTTGCATTTACACATCTAACATCCAGAGTGTAATATTTATGCTTCTGAAACCTTGGTGACATAAACTAATGCATGAAAATGAGTATATCACTGTTATAAATTTAGTAATAGTGGCATTTTTTATGTGATATTTAAGATTTTAGTGGTTTGCATGTAATATGAAATTTTATGCATTAGAAAAGTAAATATATAAAATTTTTTTGGCATGTGTGTAAATGCCCCAACATTAATTTACTTGCAAAAGAGGAAGTTGTTTAAGGTTCTGCAAGGGATTTTAAAATATTGGAAAACAAATACTATTTCAGTTGAAACAGTAAAGTGAAAATAAAGATGGAAGTCAATTACGTTAGATGAAAATAAACTAGTCTGAAGCACGTGATCATACAGTCAAAAAATTTATACATGAGTTACTGAGGGTGCGTTTGGGAGAGCTTTTTTGTAACGGTGGCGTTTTGAAAATGCCACCGTCCGTTTGGAAATTCCCTTATTGTTGCGTTTTGTAAAACTCCGTTTCACTTTTACTATTACACGCGGATCGTAGGTAGGACCCGCGATCCGTGTTTCATAGTGTCGGAAGATGACCAAAGCCCCTCCTCACTCCTCTGCCCTAATTTTGCAAGTTACGAAAAGAACTCATCTCCCTCTCTGATCCAGCACATCGCAGCACTTCGTCGCTTAATCCGCGTCTCCCTCCATCTTCGTCAATCGTTCTCACAGGCAAACATAGCTTTTGTTTATTTTTTCTCCTACACTATGTTGTCGCTCCTTTGCTCCTCAGTGGTTTTTTCTTTTTTTTTTTTTCCATGGAAGAGGGATTTGGTTAACACAGTCGAATATGTAAGAACTGTCGCTCCTCTGCTCCTCTTTTTCTTCTGCTGCATTACACTGCCTCTCCTCTGGTCATTTGTGTTTTATTATTATTATTATTATTATTTTGCTGTATTATCATTATTATTTTGCTGTGAACGTTCGATTTAGTAAACTTGTTTCAGCCTTTTGGTTTCTTTTGCGCTATTCTAAGCCGCTCCTCTGCTCCTTTGCGGTTTTTTTGTGAGATTTGCTTATTCTTCTGTTCATCCTTATATTTGTCATTGTTCCTCTTGATGCTTTATTTTACCATCAATGCTATTGCACTATTGGGTCATCTTCCGCGATATGCCGACATACCCTTTTACTAAACATGTTCATATTGTGGTGGCCACAATAACGCTCCACAATTTCATTAGACGACATCTATCTAGATCGGATACAAACTTTATTATGACTGACACCGACGAGATGCATATCCTACCTGAAGCATTTGAATTCCAGGTTGGGCAGTCTATTCCGGAAGAAGTTATGGACACCCAAGAATTTGAGACTCAGGATGGCGAAGGTGCAACAGAGATGACTGCTTTTAGGGAGCGTATCACATATATGGTATGCAACTCTTGATTTACCCTATCTTCTTTAATTTGCATATTTTATGTACCATTCTTCGGATTTTCTGAATTATGTCTTGTTATGATTTCTTGAATCTTACAAAGGTAGTTGGATTTTCTGAAATTTATGTTAGGTTGGCCATTACATGCTGAATATGATATGGGTATCTTGCTTTAATGATTTTTTGCCTGGCTATGTGAGCAATCTTGCTATTGTAATTGATACGAGTCATGTTCCATCTGAGTTTCATATTGAACAAAAGAAAGGTATTTTGTTCTCAAATTGATCGAAGAGTGGGAAGTTGATATGAATTAGGATAAGTTGGTATAAATTATGGTAAGTTGATATGATTGCCCGTGGTATAACATTTGGTATAAATTATGAGCTATTTTTAATGCTCTCACTTTTGGCTGGATATATATATATATATATCATTGTATCTTTTAGTTGCCAAATGCCAGTGGGCAATGACGTTAGCTGTAGCCCATCTTAATATGGTCGATTTCAGTCTTCATTTGCTACTATTGGAGTAGTTTTTTAATTGATCTTTTATGGTAACTGCTATGACCAACCTGCTTTTTATGAAATATTAGAACTTGCGAGTTGGAAGATGGTTGTTAGCTGACTTTTCAAATAATAATAGTATTCAGAGCAGTTGCTGAGAATTTCACATCCAATTTACAATGATAGCTTTTCTGAATGGGAATCTGTTGGTAGGAGTTATTACTTGAGATTAGGTTCCTTGTATACACAACTTATTTTAACATGAATGTTTTGAGCTTCTTTCCCCTAGAAACTTGCAACTTGCCAAATGGACAAATGCTCTTTTGGTAAATGAGCTTTCCATCAGGAATAGTAACGGCGGCACAGAACTTACATGGTTGGATCGTGCCGTATGCAATGTGCTGAGAACATAAGAATATATTTCGCATGCTCTCTGTTCTCTTAAATCTTATTATTCGTTTCTGAAATTTGGTTTTGTTTGGAATTCTGTTAAAAAAACACTAAGAATCTTATTATGTTTATGAAATTGGTTAAGCTTTTAATAAACCTTATTCTGTAGTATTTTTTTTTTTTGGCTTGAACAAAGCAAGCTATTTATGTGCGAAAGAACATTTGGTGTTGTGGAAATGCAAGTAAACACTCGTCAGATTATGAAGAATTGGATATGTATCCGTAGGCTTCATGTTTATTCCGACATCATTGATTGTGGAAATTTTTGTACTACTTGTTTTATGAAACATTGGGAATTTATGCAATTGCATATGCAATTGCATATGGATTTTATTGGATTTTATTTGTCATGCTTGAGAACTACGTGCAAAAATAAACCCAGTTCTTATTAGGCTGAAGGTATGTATGAGTTTATAAGAGTTGGAAATGCTTCATTTCTTTGTTTTCTCTGGAAAAAATTGGAAATGGATAAGGTGCAGGTATGAATTTCAGATTTGGGATTCTTCTTGCCCGTTGTATGCATCGGCTTACCTGTAATGTTATAGTTGTTCTTTTGGTATTATCGAATGTAATGCTTTGGTGTCAGCAACTCCCATTTAGGTGAGATGGCTGGCCCCTTCTCTCTCTCTCCCCCTCTTTCTCTCCCTCTCCCCCTATCTTCATACTTCATATGAGGCTCTACCATTTGTGTTTATTTATACTTGATGATGGACATTTGAGAGAATTGTAAAGAAACATTTATGTGTTGTTGGTTTAATGCATAACAAATGGCTAGAAATTGAGAGAATTGTAAAGAAACAATTACCTTGTTGTTTTTCTTTTTATGTCTACTGATTTTATTGAGATAAATGTGGAGAAGTTTGGATGGCCACAAAATTTTATTTTCGGCAACTAACCGTTGTCTCCACACTTTGATAAGTACATTTTCTTTATTTCATTTAGTTTTTGACTGATTTATTCTCTTTTAATAATTGCAGGACGATAAGTTTCTGGTATTCAGGGAAGTTCGGGCAATTGATGTGCCACTGCGGTCTATCGTTTTTGCTACTCATGTTATGCCGTCAACATAGCTACGAGCAACAGTTCTATAGGTGCCCACAGTGGAAACAAATACAGGACGACTGCAGTTTTTTCAGATGGGCAAACAACCCTTCATATTTGAGATCATCCTAATTGGACAATGTTGTACGGGGTTTGAATGTATCACAATCGGAGAACATCTTTTATGGTTCGACTGTTACCCAACCGCTCGGGATTGGTTCGTACACCAACCGAACAACGTTCCTCATGATATGTTATTTTTGCATTTCAAATTGAATGTTATAATTATCTTACTAGTTGTAGTTTCAATATGTATTTTGGTTTTAATTTGGTATCTTGAACTCTATCTTAGGTGAAGTGAGTATCAAAATTTTGTACCTTTATGAAATTATTTTTTTTCGTTATCATAATTTTGTACTGTTATGAAATGATATTTTTTGTTCTCAACTGTCAGTTATGTAGCCGTTAAACTTCTAGTGTAAACAACAATACTGTATATGTCAGAATGGTCTTTTATCTATAAAAAGCTGTTTACTGAACGTAAAAATCGAACAACTAAACAACTTATCTAGAACAGAGGCGGAATGATCATTTATCCAGAATCAGCTGTTTTCGAAAGACACAAACCAAACAGCTAGTCAGCTTTTCACGATAAATTGCTTATCAGGATAAGTTGCTTATCTGGATAAGTTGAATAAGCTGTAGCTAGGGGTGTAAACGAGCCGAAATAGATTATCAGGATAAGTTGCTTATCTGGATAAGCTGAATAAGCTGTAGCTAGGGGTGTAAACGAGCCGAACAAGAGCGTTTGACTGGTTTATAATTCGAGCTCATAAGGTGTGTTCGTGTTCGGCTCGTTTGCTTAGCTAGCCGAACACGAGCAGTTCACGAACAAAGAGTCATTTTGATAACCATAATCACGTAGTCATAAGATGTTAAGGATTGAGCCAAGATTTAAAACGTCATTTGAATCTAATTTAATAATTTTTGTTCTATTTTCTTCATTAATATTTTTAATTGATTATAAATCTTTATAGCCTTGTAATCAATTAAGTTTATTAAAAATACTACTCATCAAAGATATTCCAAAACGAGCCGAACACGAACAAACAAATATTTGTTCGTGTTGTTTGTGTTGTTCGTGTTCGGCTTGCTAACCTAGCGAATGAGTCGAACACGAGCTGTTCGTAAAAAA